TGTAGACGGTGATTACAGGTTATGCAAAGCTGCATTTGTCAAGTAATTTGGGACCTTATGAAGTGCTGTAAATGTTTACTGGAGGGCCATACTTTCCTTTCAGAGCAATCTCCAAGACACAGAAATATCAAATAACCAAAATCAATAACAGGAATTGTTCTTTACAGAAACTGCAACTTCACAGAGATTAGCTCAGTTTGGCCTTTTTTGTTTGTTTGTTTGTTTTCTTCTTTCTTTTTTCCTGTAGCTATCGTAATACTGCAGTATATTACAGTGCTGAAAAGGTGACTGAAATTGAGAAGATTAAAACTTCAGCATCCAGGCTGAATCCTGAGAAACACCACACATCTAAACATCTCAGTTACTCCCTCTAGAAATATCTATAGCTGTCCTGGACTTCAGTGCATTGTGTCGCTATGAGGAGAGGAGTCAACAGAGAGCTAGAAGGCTTGCTCTTTGGTCTGCTGGAATCTGTGGACATGCTGCTTTTGAAGACATAGGAGTTCTGACACTTATTGTAAGAGGAAGTAGAGCAATCATGAACTGTGGACCTAGGTCACAGGAGGAACTCAAACGAGACGCCAGACAAACATGAAGTGAAAGCAGTAGTGCTTCCTCTTGACCAGCTTTAGACACCGACATCATCTGTACTGGGGACATAGTAAAGTAATTTACATCATCTTCCAACAATGTTTTAAATAAAACAGGAACTGAGGAATAAAATAGAAAGAGGGTTAAAAAAAAAAAAAAAAAAAAAAAAAGCTGGAGGAAAAATCAGAGGATCTGAGGACCTGATTTCCAGTCACGTGCAGACTCCATTCCTTAACAGTGTAAAAGGTCCTCAGAGCAAACAGGAGCTCAGACTGAACAATGCATGCATCACAGCTCATGTGAAATATCTGCGAACTGGTCATATGGTCTTCTCTGGCCAATTTAATAAATAGTGAACTGCAGAATTCTTGGCATGCAAAGTAGCACCATCTGTTCTCAAAGCATGGATTCTTGTCGCGGAGAAGGGAGCTGCTGTTGTTTTTCATGGGAAGGTAGTTGCCTCACCGTAGGTGAGACTAATGGTGAGTTCTCAGAGTATCAAGTACAGTTAACTGTTTTATTATTCTCTTCACTGTTCCTCTTCTGATAAGCCCCAGAAGTTATTTACAGTTTAAATCATTCCAAGGTCGCTGGTTATTACAGTAGGAGAACACATTGTCAGGCAATGCAGATTACATGCCTTGGCTGCACGTTGCTACAAGTAAATAGGAATTTCTCCTGGCTGCTCTCCTGTGTGGGACAGATTCATTAAAGTGAATGCTGGACCAAAATTCCTATGGGGCAAGAGGTCATAAGCTGAATTCAGCAGTGGTATAAATAAAGTAGCATGTTTTCTTGGAGGACGTCTGCATTTATTCCATCTCAGCCCTGTTGAAAAAAATCCTTTCCTACCACTACTCAAGTACTTATCTGTTGTTGGGTACCGATGTAATCATATTTTGTAAAAGTCCTTGACGGCATTGACTCCCAAACATCTCCTCATTTGTCTGATCACCATCAATTCTTCCTCTAACATCTCTCCTGACAATCTGTGCTGCACAAAAGTCAGAAATTTTGGCTCACAAGGATCTCCTGAGCCTCAGGGATCTGTATGCTTCCTCATGGCCACGTGGATGGACACCAGCCTGTCTGTACAGGTCACCATCAGTGTCTGCAGATTTCCTCCTCTCCCCCTGTTCACATTGGGTCCAACTCCAGCACTTTCTGTTTCTCACCTCATCAGGGTCGTGTTCCTGGAACATACTTCATCTGCGCCAGTGGTGTAAAGTAGGCCACTTAATTTTTAGCTCCGTTTCCTATGGAAACTGGATAATGTAATTCCACCGCATTTTTCCCTCCATTGAGTAGATTTGAACTAGCCATCCAATTTCAATAACCTTTGATAGAGAGGTACAGGTTTAAAAGATAGTTCAGGTCCTACAAATTTAAAGAAAATAAGTGGTCAGAGAGGTGAACAAGAGCCTTTTTGTGTCTTTTTATGGTAAATGTTACCATTAAAGCTCCCATCTTTTTATGTACCTGAGAATGCACACATCAGAGAGTGTGATAAATGCGTGCCCATGGCAGGAATTTCACCTTGAGCTCAGAATGAAAAAGCCAGAGACAGTCAGCCACGAGTAAACTCTTCACAGAAAATGAAGGTTCATGAGGCTGGTGCTTGTGGGATGTCCCGTGTGAGGAATTGCTCACTGGGGGCTCTCTTCTACCTCTGTGAGTTGCATCCGATGTCCCATGTGCAAATAACAGTGAATAAATGGAAAGGCTGCGAGACAGCCAGCCCTATGTAAATGCTGATAACAACAGAACAATAACTAGTGCTGAAATGTATCGGTTCTCAAGCACTTTTATTAAACCAGGCCTGGGCAATGGCTCCTGTTAATATGGCTCAGTGCTGCACTCAGTATTGGTACAGTGTAAGTGAGTGGGACTTGTTTTGCCACCTAGAGTATCAGAGGGGCTGTGCATAGTATTTTTTTTTTAAGTGTTCAGAAATGTACCGATTGCTATGGTATCAATTGCGCTAGAAGATTATCAAGGGCCTTCTATCCTGAAGTTTTTAGCAAAATAATTAAAGATTTGAACCCCCATGAGTCCAAAAATTCTTTATTGTTTAATACCATAATCTTCTTTGTTATAAATAAGGGGTCTAGTCATACAAAATAATCCAAAGCCTTTTGCAATGCATAATCCAGTGAAAAGACTCCGGTTTTAGTTCAGAGTTGGCTAAGCTATTTGTAGCAGGTAGGGACAATAGCAGGATTTTCTAGCGGTCAGCAGTCTGAAAGATCCTCTGATAGAAATCTGTGAAGGAGAGCAGTAGTTCACTGTCTAGGGAGGACTTAGTGAAAGGCAAGTTGTTCCCATTTGTGTGTTTAACAAGAAGCATCTCTGGAATGAGGGTTTTTAAGGCTCCATGACAGGAACTGCAACTCTGTGTCCAATTTGCACCTGCATTTACTTAAGCTTAAATACAAATAAAATCCCAAATCATCATAACAGCAGCAGCTGAGGATGCAGCGCAGATAAACCAGGGAAAGGATGACAATTGTCATTAGTATTCATGCGTTTGTTTTGCCAAATTGCCACTTTTAAAATAAGGGTGGAAGGTCAAATGGAGATTTTTAATTGGACAAATAACTTCACTGCTGCCTTATGCTGCTGAAAGGAAATTCAAAGGTTTTCCAGGCATTAATCTTTTAATTAATCCAACGGAAATCCTGGGATGATGAGAAACAGTTTCAGAGCAGACCTCAGGGATTGCCTTGTTTAAATCGCAGGACTAACCCAGGGGCTGGTCCTTGGCTATCACGTCCTGGCTTACCGCCTCTTCAGCTGCTGCTTAAACTCTTCCTGCAGATCCTTAGTCTGAAGGATGCTCAGCGTGGCTGCGGATGCACTTTTGTGGACAGTGTCTCTATCAAAAGCCTCCATCAGCTATTTACATGACAGTCCTCTCTGCTCTCCAGACCTCTTTGTTCTCTGAGTGCTCAGCACTTTTGTCAGGCCCTTTCTGCAAGAGATGTTCAAATGCTGATATGCAAAAGCAATATGTTAATCTGGACCTTTAAGGGCTCACAGAAGATGTGCCTAGATGCAGTGACTCCAGTGTGAGCCGAAGGCCGTCAGCTTTGCACTGATCAAATTCATCAAGATCAATAAAGCAGCTGGCTTCATAACTCCCGTGAGGTCCTATATGGTGTTTCTAGGAACCTGTAAGTAAGGTTGCTTACGTCCCCAGCATGCCTGCTGGTGACTTTAACTGGCTGAATACTCTTGGATGATTTTCAGACTGTTTGGTCACTGTTAAAATGTGTTGAAGTGGACACTGCTCTCAGATGAAACTTAGAAATACCTATAAAAAGAGCTTCATAAACTTTTCTGCAACTTGGGGTTTTGCCATTGATGTGAAAAATTGCATGAGTCAGGAAGGAGTTATAATCTAATTTTTCTCACAAATAGATGCATTCTAGGTTTTTAACAAGTGAAAGTTTAATGGATAGAATAAATTAATAGCAGTTGTCTCAGGCGAATTAAATTATATATCCTCTGCTTGGTGTGTTTTTAATCTTTTCACTAAATTGTCAATGATTCAATATTATAAAAGATTTTTGCCTTCTGATTAGAACGGAAACCTACAAGACTGTTAGTTTTCCAGAGCAGCACAAATACAATGAAGTTCAGGAAACAAAATAACCATTTAATTTACTCTCTGAGCTCTTTGTACCTTGCTTGTAGATAGACAAACAAAAGAATATTTAAAGGAATATACAGAAGAGAAGCAAAGTGCTTCCTAGGCTGTCCTAGGAATTGTCATGGATTTTCCTCCCAGGGTCACAAACACCACAAACTCTGAACAGGTGAAAACAACAAATGAAATGTTGTTGGACTGTGTTGTTTTTCTCCAAAGTTTTTTTTTTTCTTTCTTTTTTCCTTTTTTTTTTTTTTTCTAAACTTTTCGGGCACCAAGGCTACAACAGCGGATTTTGCGGCCAAACTTTTCATACTTGGCTGACGACTTGGCATCTGGGCTACTAAATCCATATTTTGGCAGCTGACTGGGAGCTGACACAGCACCAGTAAACCTCACTGAAGCCATTGCCTTTGAAAACCAGTCCTCCTTTATTTCTGTGCTGAAAATGGATTTAACAGCCTTCGTTTAAGCACCTAGGATTGAAAACATTGTCCAAAGGTTTTACATTAACCACAGATTAAACAGAACTATCAGCTAGCAACAAAATAAATCAAAGTCATTCCCTTCCCTGACTAATGTGGCTTTTTCTCACTCACAAAAGATCCGATTCCTTGTTTTGTATGTGCCCCCTGAGCAGTTCACGTGTTTTCAGAGCCTGGGCTTGTTTTCCTCCTTCACTTTTCACAGTGTTGTTGAAGCTGGGCTGTCAAGAGATCATTGAGGGCCTATGCGCTCAGTGACAGACAGGCAAGTAGAATACTGCTTTTTCTATTATTATTATTATTATTATATTTTATTTTTTTTAATCCTCCTGCCTTAGCATCATTGTAGCAGCTTTTTCATACCCCCATTTGCCTGCATTCCTGTGGACAGCATACTACACTCAGAAACCACTTTCTTCCTTTCTTTACCTCAGTCCAGAGAAGCTCACCCTAGCTTTTCCTTTTGCAATATTTTCCAATATTTTCCAATATTTCCAATATTAACCAATATTAACTTATGATGATACTTTCTCAATTTTTGCTTCACTTAGCATTTCATTTTTGTTAGACCCCAGGAACACGAACCTTTAAACTACATCTTGCTTTAATTCCATTACACTTACTTCTTAACACATGTGATCCTAATTCAGTACCCTTATTTTTGGAACTTCCTAACTTTCCCATGCAACTCATTAGATGTCATTCATCACTTTCTGACCCATTTTTATTTCCCTTTTTTTATCCTTCTTTCCCTATTAAGAGAAAAAAGCAAGCAAAAATAAAATAAAAGAAGAAACGGAGAGACAGAGAGAGAGGGAAAAAATTTCAATCAAATAAGACCATCATTTATTTTCTATTAAGTCATCATGTGAAGTGGTCAACAGAAAAATGTCTGTATTAAGTGTTGGAAGCATATTGCAACAGTCACGCAGCTGAAGTGGTATGTTTGCCTTGCAGGTGTCTGATTTTAACATTTGCTTTAGGGAGGGAAGACAAACAGAAAGCTGTATGTGAAAATGAGAATAAAAAATACCTTTTCCTTTAAAGTCTCATCCTGTCATGAATGCTAAATGCCAGTTTCCTTCTGAAAGCAAGCTTGGAACAGGCAGACAGCCATTTCAGAGAGCTGCACGCTTTGTGGCAGCAGCAAAACTAGGAAAATTCCCTGCAGCTCGAAACAGAATAACAAAACCTCTATCTGTCTATCTGTCTATGTTTACATTAATGTGATGATGAAAACAGCCTGTGCCACCTTTAGCTTGCAGGACAACATGCCTTTTCCACTCCCCACAGAAAACAATACAAGGAATGAAGCAGCAGCACCAGAGCACAAACAAAAAACCCCAGCAAAGCATGGGGAAATGACTGAGTGAAACCCTCAGAAGTACCCAAGGATTGTTTCAGCAGAGAAACACATGTTGAGTATGGTGACACGTGAAGAAACTGGCTAAAGACCAAGCTGGTGCCTGTCTTCTCTATTTTCTCCTGAGAGCTGCAGGGAGCAAACATCTTTCTGGTGGCAGAAATACTTACCCTGAGGGCAGCAATAAATTAGGCCTCCAGCGCAGGGAATGCTAGAGGACATCCCCAAGGCAAAGAACTGCTACAAAGCATTCCACCATCATTTCCCTAAGTGCTAATGAGTAATTACCCCTTTCCACCCCTCTGCCCTGGTGGGCGAGGCCCCTGCAGGAGGCTGCAGCCTGGCACAGGCCCTCCAGCAGCGGGAGAGATGGGGCAAGATTTTTCCTCTTGGAAACAGCTGCCTGGGAAATGGTCTCCAAAGCGAGCCACACAATGAAACAGAACTACGCTTCCCCTCTTGCAGTTATTTTTCCGAGTCATGCAGATTCATCAGCTTTATGTTGGAAAGCCTCTCGATGCTCGCCGGAGGTGGTACAGTGCTGATGTGCCTCCACGCCAAATATGCGGAGAGAATTCCTACTGTGAAAAAAAAATGGGCTGAGGAGAGGACAAAGGAGCACACATATGTACTCCTAATGAAAATATAAACCCCACAAGTCTGTGGGCTGATATGTTGGAATCATATTGATTCGACAAGTTCCTGCTGTCAGCAAGAATGAAAAAGTCCGCCAAGTGGCATGTGTATGTGCTTACAAACAATTTTTTAAAACCCCGTTAGATTGCCTCAGGCTTCTGTTCTAAGGACAGCAATGTCTTTAGCCCAAAACATGTCCAAAAGCTTTGGCAGAGAGGATCGTCTTACTAGCTTCATAACTTGCAACTGCGCTTAACAACTGCTAAACATAGCCCGCATGTTTCAGTCATGGACAGGAGGACCTCGGCCTCCTTGCTCAGTTGGTCACTTGGCCTATGAAGACTTAAAGTTCCTGTTCATAGGGTTCATTAAGGGGTTTTCACTCATACCTGTTTTTCCCTGCTGAACCGAAACTTGTTAACCCTTCTAATTTCTTAACAAAGCTTGTAATCTTAATCCAAAGATCAGCTCTGTGGATCATTACCAAGCTGTTTCCTTGACTTGTGCAATGCAATTCTTTCACCTTAAAGCTACTGAAATCTAAATTTCAGAAAAAAAAAAAAAGGCATCTTTCTGTAATCAGTTTAAGCTGCCATACATGAGCCCTGCAGCTGATAAAAGAAACCCTGCTTTGCTCCCAGCTTTGGTGGTGATTTTAACACTTGGATTCAGTATTCACAGCTCTGCTGTTCTGGGGCAAGGAGTCAGAGTCTGAAGCCTGTTCAGGACATGGCCTTGGGTTCAATGAAGCTGAGACTTAGTGACTTCACAGAATTTCAGATGGGAAAGCAGACGTGGGGGAGGACAAGATGAAACCTCTCAGATTTGGATTCAGTTCAGAATCTACTTCAGACGGCAAATGATAGAGAACTTTGGCTCTCCATGAAACTAAGGTGCCCGGTAATATCCCTTTGTATGTATTTATATTCATTTATTCTTTTGAAAGGTTTGTTTACATTCCCACTGCTGTTACTTGTGTTCAAAATCCGCTGTGATATTGACACAGCCAAAAGGAATTTCCCTGGGCTCAAAGCTCAAGCATAAATCCCCTCTCCAACTTCAGAAGTGAGAGGTAAAGTCTCACAAAATTTAGAAAACCCTGTCATGGCTGGTTTTGTTAATATTCATTTAACCATCTCAATGAAGCCAGCAGGAACCTTGGCTCCTGGTCAGCGTCTGTATTTATAAGCATATAAATACTTCCCAAGCTTACGGAAGGAAAAGTGAGGAGTGCTGTTTTTCTGATGTCTCTGCAAAAGCCTCACCAGCCTCACAACCAAAACAGACATTGTCAGTACCACTGGTTTAACAGAAACTAAATATTATGTGGCTGTTTAGCCTTTGCTAAACTGGATTTCAGATCTCTTTTGGGCTTGCTATGAAAAAAACTAGCAAGATGAACAACAGGCACAGCAAGTGTTAAATAGCTAAGCATTATTTCCTCTGATAAACAAGCTTTATATAAGGAAATAGTAACATATACACTTACTAGAGCTCATGGAACGGGATGCGCATTTGTATGCCAAAAGCAAGTCACTGGAAATGACAAGTCGGCATTAATTACTCTTGTTAGCATACTGAGCACATCTAATACCTTTTACAACACAAACAACAGAAAAATGAGAAATCAAGTAACACTAGATGAAACCTGTTAATCTATTACATTTATATAACTTTTTTTTTTTTTTTCCCACTGAAACACACATTGCATTAGAGATTTATAGGTCAAATATGGGCTGCTTTACAACCCTCTGCTTGTGAATCCTGTATGTCTTGTTTATCCACTCAGAGCATCTCACTCCACTGCTGGGCTTCCAGGTGGCCCTGAGCTACCACCCTGCTGCAAGACTGTTTCTGTGTCACCAGCCTAGTGATCACATCTTACCAGGATGTCACCAGCAAGGGTAGATGCACTCCTCTCAGCTGTGAGGGGCTGATATCAGCAGGTCAGGGACCATTCTGATGCACTGGGGTCAAGACCAGTTTCTGGATAGGTAGGTCAAAAAGTGGGTAGGTTCAAAGCATTTTACCCCTCCTGTTATTCTATCTTCAGTACTTTGTAACTTGTATGGAGGAGTTATCTGCTCAATTTTTCTACCTCTTGTCCCAAAACTAATAAGTACAGCTCATTTTTATTGTTGGCACTGTTATTATTCATCATGTTAGAGGATGCTGAATAGTAAATTAAAATATGTATATATAAACAATGTGTGACTGCCTGAAATGGACAGTCCATACACGCTTCTAGACTGGCCCGACAGATAATTCTGCTTTGGTCAGCTGGCAGCACCTGCCCTGAAAGCAGGACTTTATCTGATAGTCGTTGCTGAACGCTCAGTCAATTAGTGGGTGCTGCTACATCAAAGTGGATTAAAGAGGAGAAAATCTAAGGTTTGCTGCTAGGAATGGAGTTGAGAAACAGCAAAAAAGATGGAATAGACCAAGACAAACTGGATGCAAAGCTCTGAAACACTGAGCAACAGGCTGGCCAAGCACACTGTGCAAGAATTAGCAGGTGTGCCAGTGTTACATCCAGGATGTGTAGAAACTGTATATTTTTCCAAGAGGATTAAGATAAAATAGCATAGTTAAGATAAGACCTCGTAATATTTGAAGTTTCCCTGAAAGAAAACACCCATGAGATGTTGCTTTGCAGCTAATAAGGGTTATGAACCCTACAGGTATCTCTGATAAAACACAACCACTGAAAACGAAGTATGCCTGTGTGGCTGGGTTCCTGGTATTACTTTATTATTGGGTAAAGGACACCTCCAAAAGCACACTGCTTTCTACTGCCAAATTAAGGTCTCAATTCAATACTGACTCAGAGAAATGTGACACCTGCTGAAGCAAAAAGACTCTATAACATGCATTCATATAGATCTCCCATCCAAGCTTGAATCGTGCCCTAGGCTGCCAGTCTTTGAGATCATAGCCCATCTCACCAGGAGGCACAGACAAAACTGTGGCACAGCTTAATGCTGCTGCACACAGCAAATGAATCACACACTTGGGTCATCTGAATAGGCTGAAAAAGTTCTGTTACATGAAGATATGGATCTCATTCTTCTGAAAAAAGCAAAATATTTAATGAAAAACTGACGTTTTCTTAATATAAATGAGTAAGCACAGTAATTCGCACTTTTTTTTGTAACTCTTTTCATCTCCTCCAAAGCTCAGAGCTTCTTAAGAATGAAAGGTTATTATTACTTTTTTTCTTTATAATACAAAAAAACCTGAAACACTTGTAATTGATTTGCACAAAGAGTTGAGTCAAGACTCAGGTCAGTCTCCTGCTCTCCTTCTTGTACGTTGCTTCATCCTCCTCACTACCACTTTAATTAGTTTATTGTTCACCTTTGTTGTTTTCATATAGAGGATAAGTTTAGAGCAGTTGCAGAATAATTTGTTATTTCATTGTATGGAGTTATCCTGCAAGCTTCAGAATGTAAAAATAATTTCTCTACTATGCAGTATAGTTAATATATAAATACTTAGGAACAGCTTCATCAGAACTGGCACGTGATGAACCGAGAACATGGTTACACATATTTTTCTTTAGACATCAGCACTGGTATACGTAACTCTCACTTTTCTTCTCTCCTTTAATTCTTTCATGGCACTCTATTTTTTAACTTGGTTCACTGCACAGTTGTTGACACACAATGGAGGGAGTGGGATGGAGAGAGGGAGTGGCAGTGGGCAACAAGAACTGCCCTGGCCAGCTTTGTTGCTGAAAAAGAAATCCATGAATATATCAGTGAATTTGGTGTGTCCTAGACTTAGTGAACATAAAACGATCATACATTTTAAATGCTGAACCTGGTTATCTCAAAGGTTTGATAAAAGCATACAAAGTCTTTAGATCACCAGTTCAAATCACAAGTTCTGAGGTCTGTTTCTTAGTGGAAGAGTGCTAATAGCACTGATTTTCGCTCTGCTCTGTGCTCTTACTAAGGAGTCAGCAGCATAGGGAATGCATTATCCACTCTGCCCTGGAGGCGGGTCAAGACTGAGCACATTGGCAGGTCTGTGTGTAGGATGCTGTTGCTTGCTTTGTCTCTGCTGAATAACTAGGAAATTAATCCCTTCGGTAGTGAATGTGACACCTTCCAACACCACAAATTCTCAGAGGGAGACAGAGGGAAAGAATGCAAAGTGCATGTGTTTAGATTCACGTTGCATAAATCAAAAGCCCCTCAGAAGCAATTTGTATTGGACAGGCATAAAACTGGTGCAACCCAGAGTCATGCCACCTTCTAATTGATTGATAAGAATATGCAGTAAAACCATTGCAGATGTCTGACTTTTAATTGGCAAATAAAGTTTTATGAAACTGGATCATCACATAAACAGTAATAGCATGCAAAAAAAACTGCAACAAACACACCAACTACAGCTTAATAGTAATTTTGACAGACCATATTTCATAGGAACCTCTTTACTACTGATATCCTTCATGAACTTATATTGGAAATATAGGCTATTAAATTGCAGTCAACCCATGAAATTATGACTACAAACATTCATTATTTTATGAAGCAGCCTATTGACATTCCTTAGCCTGCAGAAAGAATTATGAACTCTTGTTACACTAATACACTGTAGCTTGGATTTAGATTATAAATTCATCACTGTGTTCATAAGCTTCAGCTAGTTTTTCATTGCTTATGTGTAATATATGCATACATTTATCAAGCTTGCTAGAATCACCACTGGATAGAAATGATTATGCTAAAATGCCAGGGCTTGACATTCATTCAGGTGCAAAAACTGAGCTGTAGCTCTGCTGAAGAAGAATTACAGGACTGTATAAAACAAAGCATATTTTTCACTGTGTTAACCAATATACAGTAGGACACTGTACATCTATGTCTGGTAAGTCCATCTATAGTCTTGTGGGTCCTATTCATGGGCCAGCTATCCCTTAGGGCTGAGAAATAGAAAGTGAAACTTATATTCAAAATATTTTCTTTAGACACTCATGTAGCTATGCTGGCATAGCCTCACTACCTAGATCATGTATTTAGGAGATGCTAACTGTTGGCCTAATTTCTCTGCCCCCAAATTATATAAAAATATTTTCTTTTGGAACAACTGTCCACAATAATTTATTTATTTTATTTTATTTTTTTTTTCCTGGCATTGTGATGTCAAGAAGTGTTGAGGGATTTCTTGAAACAGCAAAAATCCCATGGCTTGCTGTAGCTGAGCAAACCAAGCTACCAGGGCAACTATGAGAAGTTCCCATGACAGTGTTCCCACATCGCCCAATTGAGGAACTCAGAAAAATATTGTTACCAGTAGCTGGCTTCAAGGACAAGGTCTATGTGACTGCTAATCACAAGGGGGTTGTTTTCTTGCAGGTGGGGTTGTTTTCTTGCAGTTGTTTGTCTGAGTGCTTTTGACCAATAATCTTGTGTGAAACACTGTCCACCCCTGTTAAGTTCTCTATAAAAGTTAGGCTATTCGGGCAATAAAATGGAGCATGATCTGACTCTACTGTGTGTCGTGCTTTCGACCGTGCTTCCTGCAACAAAGAAGAAGTTGCCCTTTTGCTGCATGGACTTGAGTATATCAGCAGAACTTTCTGCATGTAGACCTAGCCTGACCTAAAGTACAGATGTAGATATAAAGATGTAGATATAGGGGATCAACCAAATAACCAACTCATAGATTGGATTTAATTTACTTGTATTTTCTTTGTCCTTTTTTTTTTAAAAAAAAAAAAAAAAAGTTTTCCTAGTCAGTGGAGTTTCCATTTTTTTCCCTTGGCTATCTATCTCACAGCTTTACTTGACTGAAGGACCAAGAAGTTATTCCTGATTTCTTAATTTTTTTTTCTTCTTTCCATCCTTCAGCAGTTCTTTGGTCTCTTTGAAGTTTTAACCTGTGACTACTTGAAGGTCTCTCAACTTGGTGATGTTAATCTTTCCAAACTCTCCCAGTGATACATAAATAAAGAGGTTTGAAATATTCTGCATAAAAAGAAGAAAGACCAGAAGGTCAAAGGATGTGATTCTCCCCCTCTACTCTGCTCATGTGAGACCTCATCTGGAGTATTGTGTTGAGCTCTGGGGCTCCCAGCACAGGAAGGACATGGACCCATTGAAGAGAGTCCAGACGAAGGCAACAGGATGACCAGAGGGCTGAAGCACCTCCCCTATGCAGACAGGCTGAGAGAGCTGGGACATTCAGCCTGGAGAAGATAAATCTCCAGGGGTACCTTACAGTGGCCTTCCAGTACATAAAGGGGGCTACAGGAAAGCTTGAGGGACACTCTTTGTCATGGAGTGTAGGGACAGAAAAAGGGGTTGTGGCTTTAAACTAAAAGAGGATAGGTTTGGATCAGTAAGAAGGAAGAAATTATTTATGATGAGGGTGGTGAGGCCCTGGCACAGGCTGCCCAGAGAAGCTGTGGATGCCCATCCCTGGAGGTGTTCAAGGCCAGGTTGGATGGGACTTTGGGCAACCTGGTCTGGTGGGAGGTGTCCCTGCCCATCGCAGGGGGCTGGAATTGGGTGGTCTTTAAAGTCCCTTCCAACCCAAACTATTCTGTAGTTCTGTGATTCTATGATACATAATTGTAAACACTGGAAAAGTCCAAAAGATCCTAAAGATTCACACTGGCTCTGGGGATAACCTTGAGGAGATCCTAAAGAAGGAAGCAAAGAGTAATGGAAGTTATCCCAGTGCTGACATTTCCTCTCCACATTCTTCCCAAAAATAAATGAAAAAGAAAACAAAAACAAAAACAACAAACAACAAACAACGATTTCTGGAGCTTGTGAGTACACCCAGAAGCTGTCCTTAACTTTACCCCCTTTAGAGAAAATTATTATGTCCTGTCGTACACTTTATCACTGAATAGCAAGAGATGGTGCTGACCACTGTTAAGCATTTTCTTGCTCTGTAAGTTATTGATTTTGTTTTTCACCATACAAAATCTCCAGTGAAGTATACTTAGAAGAGTTGTTTTGGCTGGGTAATTTCATTGCCACACTTTTGCTGCAAACAGATGAATTATTGGCGATGTACAGTAGTAAAACACTTCTCTCATCTTAGAGTATTGCAAGATACCAAATGTGCTTATGCAGATAACAAAAGACAGGACATTATTCCAAATGGGCTGAAGACATCTTTGATATGAACTGATAAATTAGTCCTGATAAGAGCAAACAGAACAGTAGTCCAAACAGAGATATTCAATTACATGAGATTTTCATTTGTCGATACACTCTGACAGATCCATTTTATATGCCGATATCTTCTCAAAATGGGATTGGACATTACTGACAGCATGAATGACATCAAAATATTTTTCTGATTTATGTTGTTGACTTGGTTTATATAAGTCTTGTAAATTTGCAGAGTTACACATATGCTAATTTCAGAAATGTATTTGTATAACACTTGTTTTTCAGGTTGTTAATCCAAGACATTAAAACATAATTGTTAATCTGCTTGAGAGATTTCTACATAATGTGTATTTGGATGAGGAACACAATGTGATCTCTGCATGGATAAAAATTGCTGCCTCTTTCAGGGTGGAGATGAAAAATTCCTCTCAAATCTGCCAAAACTTGCACCAGTGGTCTGAATGGAGGGGTATGAAGCTCTCATGGCTCACACTTGCCCCAGAGTAGCAGCTCAGCCTCTCAGAGCAATGCCCAGCTTTTCTGTCCAGCTCTGCCTGCCTGCCCTGTCACTGTTCAGCTTCTCCTTCCAAAGGATTGCCATGTAGCACCACAGGAACATTGCTGTGCACAAACATGCGGAACTAAGCACCATGAATAACAGCCCCAGGGGGATGCTGGCTGCTGGGCCCAGAGAGAAGGGGGGGTTTCACCTGGACATGCTGGAAACACTTTTAGGTTCAGGTAACAGCTGGTAGAAATTTGTAAATAACATTCAAAATGTTTCTCCTGGGCGTTTAAAGGAAAAGACTAGGTGATGTAAGTATTTGGGACAAATGTAATTGTGGATCACATGGGTGAAAAAAACAGAATAAAAGTAAAGGGAATATTTTGGCAAAGGAAAAAGATTTGTTGAATAATTCACTGTAGAGTCAAAGACATTCCACAGATTTAATACAGGGGATTTGGGTAGATCTCTGGAGTATCTGCGAATATTTCTACGCAGAACTATGCACACAGATTGAACCTCATAATTCGGGCAGCCAGGCATGAACCCTCTCTTAATCTCTCCAGTGGGCTAAGCTAAACCCTGCTAAAATTCAGTATATGACTGGGTTCAGTGTGGCTATATGACGCACCCTGTCCCACTGCTCAGGCAAGCAAACTTGCATGTGCTTTGCATAAGGGCAAGCAAGGACCTTTCTGCCAGCAAAACACATTGTTTTATTCCAGGTGTTACAAATGAGTGCCAAAAGAATTTTCTTGCTTAAGAATAATACCCCATGTACCAAGCCAATATTTAGATACCAGGGTTTTGCCCACTATTCTGGATTTTCTTTTAAATTGACCCTGAACCTCGTTCTCCAAGAAAATTATCCTTTTTGTTTGAATGAGGTATCCTCCTCCCATTCCAATTTATTGTGTGATCAAATATTTCTCTTTCAATTTGTATTTTTTCTTTTTTTTCTATTCTTCTGTCAAAGAATGTAGTTTGCGTGCTACTTGGAAGGACCTGTTTTTCTTTCTTTCTTTGCATCTCTGTTTAAAGACATACTGTCTCTTATACCTCTGCTCGGATGGCTTTCTCCTCAAGCTGCAAATGTAAGTCCAGCAATATTAAAAGGACTGCACACTTGACAGGTAAAGCATTTTACTAGTCAATATTTGATATATGAAGCCTTTGAGGGGTAACTATATATGACACCTTCTTCCACAACGTAGGATCACTGGCATAGTGCTACTGGCTTACTACAGGAAATGTGGAATCCTGTGTTGTTTTTGATGTACAATTTTCTCAGCAGTAATTAGGGCTAAAGAAGGTTTTCTTCTCCTGGGAATCACTTTCAGTTACTTGTGCAAACTATGCTACATGTTAACAAAATACAATTATGGTGTTGACATAAATATATTTTCAATTAATTTCTGTTTTCTTCAGAAAACAAAACAAAACACCACACCCTTATATTTCCATTAAGGTCTAAATCAGCATTTCAGGTTTGCAAGTAAACAGAAATTTCAGAATATCAGCAACATAAGGTACCTGCACATCAGGGAGACCCCTGGAGCCTGGGGCTGAGGTAGGTATCTGGCGGTGCCAGCAGCAGGGCCAAGCACACACTGCCGTGATCAGGATGCTCCCTGGGCACTGCAACAGGGTACCTGGCAAGGACAGCCTAGGGGGTGACATCTGAGGTGGCTAGTGGAAACAGCAGACTGGAAATTACTGCTTTCCCTCGGAAACCAGTCAGCTTAAATGAGAGATGGATAAATTTGGTGATGCTGCTTTTGCAGAATTATTCTCAGTTGCTTCATTAATCAGGAATGGAGCTCATTTTTCTGTCTTCACTTATTAGTTACACAGTTGTATAATATAAACTGGAGGTGAATTTGCTGGCTCCATAGTTTAGCTTCCAAGATGTTAATATTTTGAAATTTTGTGGTGAGAACCTATGTTCGTGTTTATTTGGGAGGTATGTGCTAGGTTGGGAAATAGATCCTTCAAACAGACAATAACTTAACCAGAATCAGTAACATATGTATTTTTTTGCCCCAAGTTAGCCATGTGTTTGGGAGGATATGTGTGTATATTTCAAAAACTGTCACAAAACATTATAACTGATTTCCTTCTAATATGTTTAAAACATTTTCTTATGCTGTGTAAACTTGCCTATAAGAACAACAAAGCTTCTGGTGAGATAGCAGTTTGCCCAAATACAGAAATTAAAAAAAAAAAAAAAAGAAAAGAAAAGAAAAAGAAGAAGAATTATCCTCCACTAGAATCAGAAAGCAAAAGCATATGTGTATACTTCATCCAGAAAATATTGTGCTGTGGTCATTAGAAGATGGCTGATATTAGAGTTACAAAGTGGATCCCAATGTGCTCAGGGAAGCTGTACCTGTATCACTAAAAAACAGAACAAAAAGAACACCTCCCTTTTCAGTGAGGACAGGTGCAGAAAGCTTGTTTCTATATAATAGGGCAGAAATAGGCTGATGACTTCCTGCTCTTCATCTTAAAACTAATAAAATGAAAATGTTTCTTTGTTTGCTCTTGTCTGGAAGTTTCAAAGCTTCATTGTTGAAAGGAAAACAGTGCTGAAGAGATTTGGGATAGGATTATTTTATTCCTGGCAGTGCTTGAGGAAGGGGACGAAGGAGGGGGAGGGGGTGGAAAGGAAGGAGTAAGGAAGGGAAGGAAGGAAGGAAGGAAGGAAGGAAGGAGGAAGGAAGGGAAGGAAGGAGGAAGGAAGGAAGGAAGGAAGGAGGAAGGAAGGAAGGGAAGAGGAAGAGGGAGAGAGGGAGGGAAGAGGGGAGAGAGGGAGAGAGGGAGGGAGGAGGGAGGGAGGGAGGGAGGGGGGAGGGAGGGATGGATGGAGGGAGTGAGGAGTGGGGAGGGAGGGTGGTTGAGGGATGGAGTAGGGCGTGATTGAGTAGGGAGGTATGGATGTGAGGGCGTTGCGGATTGGTCAAAGGACGGATCCGGTATGCTTCCTTCCTTCACAGTAATTATTGCATTCTTCCGTTCTTCCTTCCTTCCTCCTTCCTTCCTTCTTCCTCCTCCTTCCTTTCCTTCCTTCCTCTGTCCATTATAAACTGAGATTTAATATTGCTAATTTACTTTTTCTATTACTTTTTTGCCAGCACAATGAGATGCATTGGATTTGGCTAGCTGGCCACCAAAATCTTAATTTTTTTTGCATTTTTAAGTTTTAGAATGTGCTGGCAGCCCTCTCTAATGAAAAGATGCTACCTTATTTTCCACTTAAGACTTATACTTATTTTTTTTGTCTGTCACTCTCTCTTTTATTTTTCCTGGAGTGACACATAAGCCAAAGCTTCTGATATACAAACGATATATACTGCAAAGAGTTAAGTGAAAATATTTCTATCAGAAAAAGAAGAAATAGGTTATCTGATAATTTTTATTGCAGTATGTAAACAAATGCTAGTAAAAAATAAAAGCACGTAGGGTGAAGGGTTAGGTGCTTTATGAGAGTGCTCCTTCGAATTCTGCTGACATAACAAAAACATTGCAGCTCCATTTCTATCTGCTTCCTAAAGCCTTCAAGCAGCTCCTCACGAACAGGCTTACAGTTTGAGCTCATCTCATAGCTTAAACATGCTGACATTGACAAATACTTAGCAGTACAGCTTCATTTGGCTAAATGGAATATCATGCCCGTTTTCACTCTAAAATTCAGCTTAGTGTATTACACTTCTACAGTTGACTTCATATCCAAGCAGCCCATTAAAAGGCTACAGAGACAGACTGAGAGAGTTAGCTGTACCTTTTGTGTAGAGGTGAGGAGATGTGAACAAAAAGTGGGTTTCCAAATGAAAAAGTAAGGAAAAAAAAAAAAAGACAATGGGTATTTTGTTGTTATTATTGTTGGCTTGTTTGTTTTGTGTGTGTGTTTTGTTTTCCTCTGGCTTTGACAAAGAATGATCTATTGCCATTAAATTGCTAGCTGTTTTAAAAGTGCTTATGTAACACCTTGTTGTTATCTTACTTGGCATAATGACTGATATTTAACTGAACTCTACATATTTCAACTCTAAATTTCCAGGTTTTCTTAGGCCTCCTACAAGTAACATATACTATTAATTTATGATAATATATGAATGTTCAGTAATAGATAGTGCTTCCTTGATTATTGATGAAAAATGTGAGTTAGAGCTCATAACTATGCTAATACTTTTGCAAATTGTCAGGTTAATAATTCCTAGAGGAAAAAAGTTCTTTTCAATAAGTCCCCCCACCCCCTTTCCGGTAATGCTGACTCTAAAATTCACTAATCTGTACCACAGTGTTTCACAGTGCCATATAGTAAACACATGACTGTTACAAACCCCATTATTTTTTCAGTTCATGATTTTCTTTGTAACTTTGAAACTGAATAATTCTCTTCTTAAATGGAAAAGAGTGATTTTATCCAAATCATGATAGTTAAATATTTTCAAGCTCTTGTTAATGTATGGTATGAGGCCTACACCATAGTGGCCAAGCAGCTACTGGGCATTAGAATATGCCAATCTGCACTGTTCACCCAGAAGATTATTGAAGAGTATTGTCTGTGCTAGTGAATGCTTCCCTTTGGTTCAACTGTAGGATAACAGATGATAGCACTGAAAATATTGGAGTTGGTGAAGAATCATCTTTAGAGAGAAGGTAACTACAACCCTCCAAATGGTTTCTGAACCACCATTTACCCATGAACCACGACGTACATTATGAGATCAGTTGGTTGCTAACCCGCGGATGTCTTAAGCAAGGTGTCAGGAAGACAAAACAATATTTTATATCTGTTTGAGAAGAATGAGAAGCACTGGTAAACTTGTTTTAGTGGTTGAAGAGAAGATGATTGTCAGTGGCGACAGGAAAGAGTTTCAACACACAAGTTTACTTCTGTAAAAAGCAAAAAAGAAGAAGCTTTATCATTTCAGTTGAGGATAACTTTTTATTGGCCATAAGGGAAGAGATGAATGGGATATAAAGATTATAATTAGATTACACCTGATTAGCACTGGCAATATGAAGAAGACTGGTGCTGCTGATTTACTCTTATTCTAATAGACACATAAACATAATTATACCGTATTAAGATTTTCTTATCCTCTTTTTGGGCATGGTTTCGATCACATATAGTAAAACTAAATGGTAATATTCCTAGCAGGTGATAGAGACAAAATATATACTTTGCCTATTTAACCCCTTGCTACTGTGTTGACAAGACAGATTTCTTAGAAACCTGGCTTGGTCAGAGCCAAGCGGAAGTCAGCACTGTATGCACATGAAAATATAAGCTCATACCACTATAAACTACAAAGTATATTGCTATTATCTACATACATCCTAGGAGTATGATCAGTAAGCAAGACAAATGATCTTTTGTCTGTCTCACATT